ACACCAAAATGAGAGAGATCCAAATATAGTATAAGTATGAGATTATATAGTTGAGAATGACTTAAATGAATTAATTTGTTTTTTTCTATTTTTTATTGAAAGTAAAATTATGTAATTTTGGAGTGTGCATGACTTTGGGTAAATTTTTATTTCAATTTTTGTCTTGTAGATTGCGACGATTTACTACAAACTGCCTCAATATAGATAAATTTTGCGGCAGTTATTTGACTTCGTCGCACGAACCGTCCCAATGTTGGAAAATTTTGCGACAATTGGGAGAAACCGTCGCAATGTTAGAAAATTTTGCGACGGTTAGGAGAAATCGTCGTATGAAAAGTCGCAATGTCAAAGCGACAACGGTTTCAGGGTAACCGTCGCAATTTGTCCGTCATAATTCATCATTTTCCTTGTAGTGTTACTACTACTACTACTGCTACTACTACTACTACTATTACTACTACTACTATTGCTACTACTACTACTAATACTACTACTACTACTATTACTACTGCTACTACTATTATTACCACTACTACTATACTACTACTGCTACCACTACTACTACTATACTACTGCTGCTACTACTACTACTATTGTTACTATTACTGCTACTACTAATTTGTTTTCAACATTTATGTAGCTCATGTAGCATGACAACTTGCTTAGGGGACCAATGGGATACTAGCCAAAGAGGAGGTACTACTACTACTACTACTACTACTACTTATTTGTTTTCAACATTTATGTAGCTCATGTAGCATGACAACTTGCTTAGGGGACCAATGGGATACTAGCCAAAGAGGAGGTACTACTACTACTACTACTACTACTACTTATTTGTAACGGGCCGTTCCAAACAAGGCAAATCTGGAACGGGCCGTTATGGAAAAGGAAAATTTGTGTTACAGAAGTGAGATGAGGTTAAGAATATTAAATTAGTTAAAAGACAGTTATGAATATCATAAAATAATTAAACAAAATAAATTAAGAACACTTCATTGGCTATTTAGAGTTAAAAGTATCATAAATCAAATAATATAATGAAGTTATGAACATCTCACCAAATAATTATAGATAAATATAACATAAAATAGATAAATATAATAATAAAATTTAAAAGAGATAAAAGTGTATAAACTTTAAAAAACCAAATAAACTCTCTAGATTTGTATTCCCCTTCTCTCAAACCTCTCACCTTCAAATAAGGCCTATTCTTCAAATTCCTTCTTCAAATGCAATTTGTTTTAAGATAGAATATGGCAGGACTCAAGCATATGACCTGAGACCAAAATAATGGTTATGAATACATTTTAATATATAAATTATAATATATCTATTCTATTTTATGTAATTAAAAAAGCAAAAAAAAAAGAAAAAATGTATATGTATTCTAATATTATTTTATTAGAAATTTACCATTTTTTTCATCATATTAAAATATAATACTGAAAATTTTTAAACATTAAAATTTAAAAATTTGTACTAAAAATTTTAAACATTACAATTAGAAATTTAATATTATTTTAACAATTAGATATTATGTAGATTCATTTTATTTACTAAAATATTAAAAATAAATTAAGAACAATTATAATAATATAATTAAGTATTGTCTAAAAAAATTGCAATTTTACAATGACTAAAATTTCATATTTTTAAAATTAAAAGTGACTAAATATCTTTATTTTAAAATAAAAATACTAAATTTACATATTAATGAAAATAAAAGGAGAAGAAGATACAGTTTTTTAAGTTTTAACTTTTAACACATCCAAATCACATTCTTCATGGATACTAGTCTGAGAGCATCACGGTATTTTATTTTATTTGTTGATAGATAGAGTACCTCGTTATTCACATGAATAATATGTTTTTTTTATTATCAACAAATATTAGTATTTAATGAGTCATATTAACTAGTAGATTTAAATTCACCCGTTCTTTAATTATAAGGATTTTTTTTTTCTAAAATCAATCCATATATTGAATATAAATATTATTTTATTCAAAAAAAATTTTTAAAATTTTTTTGGCAAAGAAATTTATAATTTTTTATCTAATTTAATTCTTATTTATGAATTAATTTTTTTTAATATTTTAAAATAAATTTAATTATTTTTATAAATAATATTAAAATTTAATAATTTATGAGTATTAAATTGATAATAA